AAGGATAAGAATAGGGGACAGGGAATAAATCCGACGTGTAGAATGCTTTGCCTCAGGAGGATCGACGCGAAGAATGGATTAATGAAGAGAAAAATTGTTGAAAGTGAAGAACGAATATTGCATCGCAAGCACCAACTTAACGTTGCACAAGTTCTTTATGGAAAAGATGAACAGGAAATAGAGGAAAGACTCAAGGGACCAAGAAACTTTTTGGACGGATATTACATTTACTACCTCAACGGCCTGGAAGGATGCCAGAAACATACTGAAAGTACGTGGAATTGTCAGAAACTTCTCGCTTCCACTTGAACTGTGTGGTCAACGAAAATTTCATCTGCCTTTAATAGATATGAAAAATGAAGATTTGACGAATCGAACACCGTGGTCACAAGCGAAACCGTGGGTAAAAAATTGCGGTTTTTATTATATGTCGACGCACACTCACCATTGACTTTGACGATTTAGTGAAGAATATGAAATTGACTTGGGCGAACAACTTGAAAAAACGAAAGCAGAAAGTACTACAATTTATTATTATTGTCTCAGAGCAATGTTATTCTGAATTAACCGTCGGAACTATGACATTTTTGAATAGCGAAACGCATCATAAAACGCGCATTTACACCGGGATTGCAATTGGGAAAAAAGTACATTGAGTCCTGGAGCGATGGAACTCAGGTTGCATTTTTCAAGCGATTTTACGAAAGCGCGCAACGTTTGGATGCTGTGCACATGGTCCGAGATAATGTCAAAAAAGTCATAGAGGTTTGGGTTAAAGGCGGTGGTGGAAATGGTGATGGTTTTGGTGGTGGCGAATCGAAGAACAATAATCCCGGCAATGAACAGGGAAATCATGATGGGAATCAGGAAGACGATAAGAAAGAATAGTTGCTAACCATAGTTTTGCTGCGTTTAAAAAGGACGCATCTATGCCAATTTGCGATTTAATTAAAATATTCTTTATTTTCTTTATTTTTTTTTTTTTTAAAAAAAAAAGAAAACATGGAGATTCATAACTTTAAGTAGAAAGTTTGATTCCCATCTTTTAAATTATTTATAAGCACAGGCGCCCTTATTAAATTCAATAAAGTTTGTCTTTTGGCGCCAGAGAAATGTTCAGGGTTTGAGTAAGTTGATTCCCTTTGTTGACTATAAATATTCAAGCCCTTAATCCTTCAGAGATGGTGGTGACGGAAGAAAAATGTCTAATATTGCTGTGGCACAAGTCCGTCACCATAATTTCCCAACTCCCCTCCGATAATAAATCCACCGAAATGGTGCTCAAAGTCAAGTGTCGTGATATCCACCTTGTTACAATCCCGTAAACTAAAATCCCCCGGTACTATCTGACAACTGTCCATACATCTCTTCCAACATTCTATTATGTCATCCTCTGTGACTACAAGATTAAACCTTAGCATATACAGGAAGTCAATTTCCATACGCGTGATTTCGTTTGGGGAGAACACGTGATTCGTAATATTTGACCAATAATAAGAATTGTTATGAGGAATGAGTAATAATGTATGCGCTATTAATGATGTGTCTGTCAATGGAATACCTTGAAGATTGCTGGGGTAGGTGTGATTTATTGGCGTCGTGGGGATTGGCTCGTCCCATACTCGTTGTGCATCTGTCACCATCCATTCTTCAAGTATTAAACCTCCGTTTCCTTCTGCGCGCCACCCACCATTATGTTCATCCTCTGCCGGATTTTCAAAAACTTGCTCCGTCCATTGTTCTTCCACCGACTCATCTTCAAATTCCTCATCTGAATATAGATACGACTCTTCCGATGAGTCATCCAACCCTTCGGAACAACTCTTTGAGAAACTTGCGTCCACATACTTGGACGCGATAACGAATGCGATGAAAAAGACGCGGTGCGAACATCCCTGCTCTCCGTGAAAGTATGGGTTCGCCTGATTCAGTTTAAGAGAAATTACCGTTAACATACGGAAGTATAAAATAACCAAAAATCTAACGGCACCCGTAACGAGATTTGTCACACGTGACGTCATCAAGTCAAGGGTTTTTTTGACAGAATACACGCGACGATGACCGCATTTTTTAAAGAAAAAGAAAGCTATGTACCTTCCTTAATCGTTCGATGTAAACCATGGCGAGGATTAACTTTAAACTTGACCAATTTGTCCACGCCCATTCGGACATCCCACTATCCTCGCGGCCCTCCATATCCTCTTCGTCCTCATCTAATCTGTATCGAATCCGTGCTATCACATATTTGATATAATTTTTTAGGGTGGTATAATGATGACCTCTCTCGGAATTACATATGGAATCGCTGTATGAAAGTTCCCATAATGATTGGATTCTTTCCGTGAGAAGTTCTGAAAGGAAAAGGGATAGTTTTTTAAAATTGCTCAATTGAATGCATCCAAAATGTTTCGCGTATAAGCGTGTCCGCCACGCGTCCATGCTAGCATTAGGAATTACCTATTACGCTTTCATCCATTATTACATCCTGTTCAAATGCTTCGCCCAGGGTTTTAAACAGATTCTCGCGAAGCTTCATTTCTTCTGTCGTTTTTGAAACATAAGCTTGGTGAAAGCAATTTTCTTCTTCCTTTTCGTCAACAAGATCAGGAAAAACCATGGGTGTTGTAGGTGGCAGTTGTGATAGCTGCGTCTCAACCTGAGTAGACGGAGATGGCTGTTGCACTGTCGACCTCGTACTATTGACCTCACGAGCATGTGAAGAGGTATTCGGCGGTAAGATCGCATGTTCAGTCTCAGTTTCATTCTTTGCAAGAGATGTGTGTGCGGCATTTCTTGAGGGCTCGTCGAGAGGCTCGCCTGAGTTGATACCAGACATGATAACACGTTTTTCAGAAAAAATTAAAAAAAAAAAATCAAGTAAAAAAAAATTCTGGGCTCAAGAAATTTGGTATAAATAAAAACATCGGAGTATCTTATAGTCTGTTAACGATGGTGGCTGATTTCGATGATTCCAGGTCTGAGGTCGACCGATGTTCAGGTTTTGTTTGTGGACTGAAAAGGCAAAAAGAGATGGAGGGTACTTTCCACTTAGGATGGCAATCCATGTGCAAATTGCTTTCTACACATCATTAATATCTAAGATCGTCGTTGCTCGCCATGCAGGATGAAATGCAGCGAAGATGGGCGTCCGCGAAGATAGACCTACCCATCAATATCTTCGCTTTAAATTTAACACAAGGACGGATCGTCCAAAATTAGTTATAGCGACTTTACACTACATTAGAGCAATTAGCCACACGGTGGATCAATCAAGAAACGTTCAAGATATTTTTGTTGTGTTGCAGTCAAGGTTCATTCTTACACCATGTCCTTTTAGAATATGATTTTCCTTGCGTTTATGTGCGTACGTAACGTGCTTGCATGATATTTAAAATCGAAGTTAGCTAAAAAAAAAAAGCTATTTTTTTTTTCCTAAAACGCGAACTACCACAGATCATAAATTTTTTGTATAAAAAACATTTCTAATCGATTGTTATAATTTGGTTAGTCTGCTGATCACTGGGTTCGTCAACGTCAGAGGAATACTCCTGACCCATGTAGTCATCAATTGACATCGAAGATGCAACCTTGACGCCACCACCAAACTCAATGATCCCGCCCAAGGGCTCGACAATAATCACCAGGGTTTTTCGAAATATGCTGAAGCCTTGGTATGTGACATCTAGAACGGGTTTTTTTTCTTCGTCTTCTTCGTCGTCTTGTGATCCGTCGGAGTGAAAAACGTAACTTTTGTCCTGCGGATCAAGTGAAAGTTCGAACCGAAAATGCAAATTGAAGATGCTTTAAAGGAATCAAGAGAATTAATGAATACCTTCAATAGAATTGAATGCCTCGCTTCTGTGGGTTTGAAGTAATATGCCATTTGGAGATTAACTATTTCAACCGTGGACGACAAAAGAAAATTGGTTTCGATTGATGTGTCACTCGTATATATTCGATTAGATATGATGACATGCAGACATACTTCCACGATACACATCCTTGTCCTCCGCTTTCTTTTTCCTATCTTTTGATAAATTCTTTGGTATCACTTTCTGCAAAGCCGCTAGAACTTCCTATAAATC